TTGCTGTCTCACCATTCTGGAACTAGAAGTCTGAACTCAAGATGTCAGTGGGCTGGTTCCTTCTGAGGGCCATGAAAGAAATTCCATGCCTCTCTCCTTGCTTCTGGTAGCCTCAGTGTTCCATGGCTTGTGGATGATGTTATCCTTGTGTCTTCACATCATCTTCCCTCCATGTGTGTGTCTGTGCCCAAATTTCCCCTCTTTATAAGGATACCAGTCATATTGAGTTAGGGCCCACCCTAATGACCTCATTTTAACTTGATTACCTCTTTAAAGAGCCCATCTGCAAATAAGGTTACATTCTTAGATACTGGGGGTTAGGACTTCAACATATCTTTTTTGATGGACACAATTCAATTCATAACAGGGTTGAATGATGAGCTCAAACATCCCCTAGCCAGGTGAGAGTAACAAAATGAAAATAGCTTTGAGCACTTCAAACCATCCCAATTTGATGACTTTAAAATCTCCAGAGTGAACTGGCCCCCAATCCTGACCTCACCTCACCTGAATGTTGCCTAATTCCAACCTTCCCCACACCTACACTAGCATCCACATGTGCCATCACTTCGTTGTCACACACAACCCGGTCCGGGTATGTTCCCCTCCTTCAGTCTCTTGGTGATGTTGAAAGTCTTCATGATTAATGACACACATATTCTAATAAAAGTAGGATACAATGAACATGTCACGTTACATTAACAACCTCAATGCAAATTGTCTATCTTAAAAATGGCCGACAGAGGAGGCATCACTTTTACCACCAACTGTCATGTGAACCCCCAGCCCCTTGCCTGGTTTCAAATACTATCCAAATAGTATCCGGTGACAGCTGACTCCATGTCTCAGGGAAGGAAAGGATGTTTTGTTCTCAGGACAGGACTCGAATGTTCTGTTGCCAGAAAGCAAGAATGTCAAGGAAATTGCTGAACAGGACACAGGAGCCAACTTAAAGGTGCTCCATTGTTCAACCTGCGACAACAGAGCATGAGAAGAAAGGGGATGAGATGAGGGAGAGGAATGATAATTATAGTTAGCGAGGTAAATTGAGGCTGTAGAAAGCCATGAGATTATTACAATACTCAAAAGATAAAAGAAAGTGCACAAAAGATGGCTGTAATAGAAAAGAATGGTGGTTTTAAAAATTGATTTTAATAAAAAGGGAATTGTTCATTTTGTTTCTTCTATCAATGATGTGTCTGTTTATAAAGCAGAGATAGGTTCCTTTCATCTGCTTACT